GAGCGTTTTTCAAAATATAACTTTAAAAAATCATCATCTCCAACATTTCTAACTTTAGATGTCAACTTTGTCATCAAAGATATACTTGGTAGTTTGTAGTCATCACATAACCAAGAGTAAAGAGTTCTTGACAATGAAAAGTACTCAAATACCCTAGCAACCATATCAGGAGAATAATTTTTTTCACCAATAAACATTTATGAGTTTATACTTAACATCTGTTCATAATGTTTTTCTTTTAACATCTTCACTTCCAACAAGGCTGCAAGCAACCACTATAAGAGTTGGAAGTTACTGGAAGAGAAAAGACTAAATCTGTAGAGCAAGATGAAGATTGACTGATGACTTAAAAGATTGCAAATTATATGAATCAGGAAAGCAAGATGAAGGAAGCGAATTCCAAAGAACTGATGTTCGAGGAAAAAAACTAGAAGAATAAGAGTTTTTGAAGCACTTAGGAACAGTAACAGAAAAAGGATGAGACTTAATTGAATGGAGAGTAACACGAGAACGAATTTTAGTAGATGGCACAAGGGACGCTAGCTCTTTAGAGCAGTGCCCATTATAGTATTTGTAGAAAAGAGAAAGAGAAGCAACATTACGACGATGTGACAAAGGTTGGAGATTGGCTGCCAGAGCAGGTCCAACTATGTTTACAATTCGTTTTTTGCACCTTGTCTAAAAGAGAAAGAGCATCATTAGAAGATCCGCCCCAGATGTGGCAACAGTATTCCATACAGGGACGGATTTGAGATTTATAGAGATAGAGAATAGAATCTGGAGTAAGAAAGTGTCGAGCTCGATAAAGAGATGCAACCTTAGCAGATGCTAATTTTGCAATGGATTTGATATACGGTTTAAAAGAAAGATCAGAAGTAAGAGTTAATCCTAGAAGATGAATGGTAGATGACTCATCTAGTACATTACCATTCATAAATATAGGAAGATCTAAATTATTACGATAACGATTGGCCGAATAAAATTGAGTTTTATCTGAATTAAAGTTCACCAGCCACTGTGAGCCCCATGCTGTAGCAGAAGTGAGATCCTTTTCAAGCTCAGATACCCCCTCCAAGCAATCAGAGAGTGTAGGCTTCTTATCATGACAAGAGTAAATGGTAGTGTCGTCAGCGAATAATGCCACCTTAGATGTGAGAATATCTGGAAGATCGTTAATGTAAATTAAAAAGAGTATAGGGCCAAGGATTGAACCTTGAGGAACCCCTGAAGTTACAGGATGTGAAGAAGAGTGTTGTCCATCAAGGACAACTTTTATACTACGATTGGAAAGAAAGGACTCAATAATCTTAAAGACATTACCAGCTACACCATAAGAAGAAAGCTTATGGAGAAGACCAGCATGCCAAACTTTATCAAAAGCTTTAGAAATGTCAAGTACGATAGCCTTAACCTCTCCACCTCTATCTAATGCACGGTAAAACCTATCGGTTATTACTGTTAGCACATCAGCTGTAGAACGAGAAGACCGAAATCCATATTGATGATCAGAAAGTAAGTTATTTGATTCAAGATGAGAGATTAAGTGTTTGTTGATTAAAGATTCAAAAACCTTGCTTATGACAGGAAGAAGACTTATCGGACGGTAGTTAGATGAATCAGATCGCTCTCCGGAATTTTTGAAAATAGGGATAACAGATGCTGCTTTCCAGCATGATGGAAAACAAGACTCTGATAAGCACTTGTTAAGTAGTTTAGAAAGTATGGATGAAAGCTCCGGAGAACACCTCTGCAAAACTACAACAGGAATGTTGTCAGGACCACAAGCTGTTGAAGAGTCTAAGCAGGAAATTACTTTAGATACAGAAGCTGAAGTGATGCGAATGTCAAGCAAGGGATCAACCTGTTTGACGGCTATGTCAGGTAAAACGCAACTAGTGGAATCAAGAGATGATATTGATGAAAAGTTCTTAGCAAACAATTCAGCTTTGTCTTTAGGTGAGGTGACAAAGTCTGAACCATACAAGAGAGAAGGAATAACAGATTTGCCCTTATTATTGATACTGTTAAAGATTCTCCAGAAGTCTCGAGAGCCTAATTTTTGTGATGAGATACGAGATTTAATGACCTGGGAATAGCGAGCTTTGGCGTCAGACAAAACCTTTTTACAATGGTTTCTGGCGATAGTGAACAGATGTCTGTTTTCTGGAGAACTGTTTTGCTGATAGATATGGAAGTAACGGTTTCGATTAGAAATTGCTAATCGAGAAATCGTCGAGAGGGAATAAAAGATTCCATGCCAGCCTGAATCCACGAAGTTATGTAAGAAGCACATTTGTCAGCAGGAAGACGAAAGATTTCTACCAAAGGGCCATCACGAAGAAAATCACAAAAAGAGTCCCAGTCAGCTTTAAGGTAGTTGTAAGATGTACGATGATAGGGGGATTCTGATGGTAAAGAAGAATGAGATAATAGTTTTAGAGAGACCAAACCATGATCAGAAGCACCTAAGGGTGAGTGTGGAGAAACTGAGCACTGACTA